CCAGTATATCACCACCCTGACAAAAAAGGATTTGTAATAACATTAATATAAACCTACCCTCTGTCAGTTTGATGCTGTTACCCCATTTTCTGCCACTCCATGTCCTTCAACTTCAGGTTAAAGCCCTCTTTGCCAGCTTGGCAAGCCAGTGACTCAAGATACACTTTCCCTTCTCTTACAGATGGATCCCATCTATCTCCAGCAGAACACTGCTCTCAAAGTGAGTCCCATGCTCTAAGCAGTCTAACTGAGAAAGTAAGTAAAAGTTTTTTACCAATTTTTTATGACTGCATTGTGCTATGGATTGCTCTTCACTTACACATAGGCAAAGTGCTGCTTTTCCCATTTTTTCTTTAAGTTTAGTTTAGAGGTAGAAATTTCTGCCAGTTCACCCACTGCCAATACAGAGCTTTCATCAAATAATTTGTCTATCCATATGTTAAATAGATTAGAAATCCATCATGAGCTGTAGAAGGCTAGAAGCACTGTAATCTAAGCTTGTTAATTCAGTATTTGTCTTAACATACAGTTGAAATAATAATTTGGTTAAATTATTTGCCTTTATTAAAAGGGAATTTGCTTTTAAAGAAACCTAGAAATTGTGTCCTTGTCCTAGGCATGCAGTAATTGCAGTATGTGAAGAAGATGTCTAAATTTGCTTATTCATAGCTAGTGTGAGAAATGATGACAGAAGAGCTACACAGATATTGAATAATTACCCAAAGGTCATGGGCAGGATTGTGCAGACTGTTTTGAAGACTACACCACTTTGTTATGGTGATACCATTATTGGACATAACTGGTCATGACCTATGGTAACAAAGATGAGAAAGTCACCAGATTTTCTCTGTGTGTGTGAGTCTGTGGATATGCATCCAAATCTATCCAATAGATCATAATTATTAAGTGAGGGGAAAAAATAGTGCAAACTTTATAGTGTTTGCTGCTTCTTTTCACAGAAAAAGGTACAAAAAAATGAAATAGGACATATCAGTTTCTTTTCATGTCAGTTTAAAGCCCAGGAAAAATTGTCCCTTTAATAATGGCCTTAAGACCAATAGAAAAACAACAAGAAAATAAAGATTCAAAAACAGCATCTACCTAACAGAACAATTTCTTATTTTTTCAAAAATTTAAGAAAGATCAAATTCCAAGGAATTTCCCCCCAAAAATAGTGTTTGTGGGGTTAAAAGATCAGTACCAAACATGAAGTGAGCAGGTTCTCAAAAAAATAATGAAGATACATGCCAAGAATGGACTTGGTCTGTGGTGTAGGGTTTATGTGGAGTTAGATAGATAGACAAATGTGGAGGGGTACAAGAAGATGAGATATGACATGAGGAATGTAAGGGTTTCTTTCGTCACCTTCCCCAACCAAATCCCCATTTCCCTTCAGTTTCCCTTCAGTTTAATATTGAAAAAAAGATATTTTAATGAAAGGGGTAAACATGCACTATATTTTCCAGATTCCTTTTTTTTCCCAGTTTTTTTAAACCTTCTATTTATATGATTTGTATTCCTGTAGTATTTCCTAGTTCAAAGTCTTTGCTGTTATTTTTTATTTGAGCTCAGTGGCTTTATTTTTGTCCAGTTCTTATTCAAGTTACTTTGAATTCTCTCTCCTCCTTTTTCCAAGTTTTCCATCAAAACCTTTCTGAGTAGGTTTGTTTCTCTGTTCTTTTTCCTCACAGTATTCCTTAATTGTTCTTTGCTCCTCTTCAGCTTAGCTATGATTGCTCATTCCTCATCCACCCACTTACTTGATTTACTTTTCTCCTCCTGCTAACAATCACCCACATAGGTAGTTTTATTTCATTCACCATTCTGTCTCCTTCCTCTTTGCCTCAGCCACCCATTAATTCATTCCTTATTCTGCCTCACACTTGCAGTTGCTTATTCAATCCATTTTAGGAATCTGGTGGAAATTCAAAAAGAGTAAATGTAAAAAGTAGGCATAAATAGCAAGAGGAAAGCTGTAGGCTGTGAAAAGTGTGGAAGTGAACTGCTGGGAAAGTGGTGGTCAAAGAGACTGGAAAGGAAATCTGGGTTGAGACATTCCTAGGGTGTCAGGAAAGCTGTTACTATCTGGGGGAGTTTGTTTGAGGGAACAGATGGGGAAAGGAGAGTTTTGGAAAATGGATAGATAGAGTGGAAAATTGCTGTTCTCAAGAAATTCAGTGTACTCTTGTATGACCCTGAAGTGTGATCTCTGTGTGAACTGAGCAGGTTCAAAAGCCTTTGTTTTTATAGTTATTGAATTCTGGCTTTTACCTCTGAACTTTTTAAGTGTTCATTTTTAGCAAACTGCCACAAGACTGCCATGGGGCATACCAGGAGAGCCACCATCCTGTTCATCATCCCATGCAGAGATCATTTATGAGTGCATGTTCCCTTGGAGTGGAACAAGAGCTGGTATTATTCTACATCACAGCAGTGAATGAAGATTTACAAAATTTACTGCAATTTAAGCTCATAATCTATAATCACCACCACTTATTGCATCTTAAAAGAGTCTTTTTTCTCAGTGATGCTGGCTTGGAAATTTGCATCTTGCATGATAGCAAATTATATATAACAGCCAAATATACATAAAACCAAGGAAATTATCATGGAGAAAGACTCTGAATTAGCGAATATTAAATAGATAAAAATTACATATATCATCTAAATGTATAGAATAAACAGTCAGGAAACAGAAAATTATCTTTATAGGTAACATGCTGTGCAAAATTTCACTGAGCTAAATAGTACTAGTATGAATAGGTAACATTTAAATTTTATCAAAAAATCCTAAAGTTGCTAAAGTATAAATTTTTTTAATGAGTTTTTGCAAGAGCTGTGCTGTATTCCCATTCAGCATTAATTTGTCAAATGGAGCCTTGTAGAGAAATCCGTGCCCACAAGATGGCAGGAGTCCCATTCAAACCTGACCACAGAACTGCAGAGAATTGAAAAAGTTTGCTATGAACCTTGCTTTTTTTCCTGTAGCTATAGTATAACACTCCTGCTCCAAATTTGCCTTTAATTTTGCAAAAAACAGGAACTTATGAGAAGGTTGGTTTTGTGTATATATTTTTAATATGTTTTTGAGCCATGTTACTCTCCCTCATTGATTATACTGCCATTTTTTTAATGCATGTATTACCCTACTGGAAATTATCTTTTAAAAAATAAATACCATTTTTCAAAATCAGTGGTGTCATTCCATGTTGTTTCAGTAGACTGAGAAATATCAGGAAGACATATAAATTTCCTGAAATTTGGGCAAAATATAATCAAAATATTTCCATGACTGCTGTGCTGCAGAGAGTTTCATGAATATTTAAGAATTTCCATTTCCATGTGCTGACAAACCTTTTCTTCTCTCCAGTGGAGAGTTAAAGATCTCTATTTGACACTTTTCAAAACTTCTCTGTTAAAGCACAGTCAATCAAGGTGGGATTTTTAAGAAAGCTTGGTGTTGGCTGACCTCTCCACTTAGGGAAACAAATTCTATAGTTTTTGGGATGAGGATCATGGTATTGTGTCTTTCTGTTGTGGCTTACGTCCATGTTTGATACAAATATCCAGGAATACCAATTTTCATTTAAAATAAATTTTTCTAGGTCTGAGAAATATGATGGAAAACACTTGGAAAATAGATTGATAAATGGCCTAAAGCACAAACAAAAAAGATCCACATATTTTTGATTTTAAAAAATATTCATTCTAAATTCAGTCAATTTTTTTTTTGTGCCCTAACTAAAAAGCATTTACCATAAGCTGTTATAGATATCAATGAATTTTGCCAGTGGTATCCAATGAGTTTAGGCCAAAGCTGGGGGTTTTTAAAACGTTTCCAAGTACATTTTTAGAACACACGGAAATTTTTCTGCCTAAAATTTAAAAACAACTGCACTTCAAAAAGAACTACAAATGCTAATGCAAGTATTGTAGGCAGGAAGAAAAATCCTTATTCATATGATTACAAGTATATTCCTCTTAAAAGAAGAAAATTCACTCAATTGCACATTAAAAAATACAGATAAAATTGCTTTGAAAATTCATTGTGTGGCAAGATCTAAAATCATGAACTTTAAGAATTTACACTAAATTTTTTGACTTATGAAATGAAAATGTTGATGTTATTCTTTATTTAGATTGTGGACATTTATATTACTGTATGTAATGACTATAATAATAATAGGATTTCTGAGTTCTTTGAGCAGTGTGTGACTGTCTTTAATATAATCCATAAATTGTAAAACACAACTCTAATCTGAGATATTCCAAGTTGATATCTTGATACATTGTTTTAATGTGAGTGCATGGTTATTGCATAATAGCAACACATTTTAATAAACTACACTGAAAGAGAGTAAAATGCCAGGTCAATTAGGATAAATGACACACCAAGACTTTTATAAAGAAAAATCCCCCAGTGCAAATTATTCAAGCTGAATATAATGAATAAAATTAATATAACATCCTTTGGTGCACTGTAGAATAATTCCACCAGGTTAATATTTTTAATACAATTGTTTGGTATTAGTAAGATGGCAATATCTGCTTTAGGTGCTGCCTTTTCCAGGTAATTTTATTTTATGCTTCACATGTGCAAAACTTGATGAATTTTAAAGATGCAAAAAGCAACTTAGAAACAAGCTGTGCTTTAATACCACCATCAGGGTTCTGATTAATCATTGGAAGAAGAATCCAACCCAACTATACTATAATTTTGCCTCAGATTTTGAGCCGTGCAGTGATACTGGACTCAGAATTTCAGAAAACAAGTGTTACAATCTTGTCCTTTACTTCTTCCCATGAAAATAGGTTTTCCATTAACATTTTGGTTCCACATGAGTGCCAAGGAGCAAAACACACAGCTGAGCTTTCTTGTAGCCACTGCTGAGGATTCTTTGTACCCACACTGTAAAATCATCATTAGTTTCCATTGCTTGTCAGTGACAGTGTTAGTTCCTGTATAGATGCCAGTGTTTACTACAGTAGTATCTAAGATACTGGTTTTTTTCAAAGTACTAAAAGGGCAAAATAAGTTATTTTTCCCAGACAGGTCTCATAAAAATTCCCTCAGTGTCTGGATGCAATCAGAACAACAAACTCATTGGGCTGTGACTGATTAATTCATCTTCAAAATTTTTCATGGTTTTTAAAAACTGTATTGTTGGAATATTTACCAGAGGCTCATTTCAGTAATTGACATGTATGTTAAGAATCCTCATTAAACTGGGAACTGAACTGCAACAGGTAAGAAAATTATTTGGCTTAATATCTGTTTCAGAAACACTCATAGGTATTAAGGTACATCTATCTATGTACATGTTTATGTATCTGTACAGGTTACTTTGAATTGCAGTTTTCTTCACAGTACTTCTTAATATTTCCAGTTAAATCAGAATTTGTATAGAGTAGGGATGTGACTTTTAGAGGTACACAAATATCTTTGTCATCTTTTACACTATGTGATTTCAGTGATTAGTATGTGATACTATGTGATTAGTATCTCTCTTTTTCTGCATGCTGATGTGAGATGTTCCTCAAGGAATAGGTCATTCATAAGGAAACTAATGGTATGGACAACTGCTTTAAAAGAATGTTAATTCTTGATTCAGGTATCTGCTGAAGAAATTTGTACTTTAACTCAAAATGTGAAAATCAAAAGTATTTGAGGCTGTGTGTAGGTAATTCTTGTCAATCTTGTTTACTTACTATTCTCTTAATGGAAGAAATCTTTACATAACGTCTTCTTTCTGGGAGCAGTAAAAATTCCAGGAACACTTGGGAGATGAACCTCAAATTCAATTTCATTATTTATTACACTATTACCAAAAGCTGGTCTGGAGGAATACCTGGACTTTCCATATGATGTCTAAGATGAATCATGATTCTCTGCAATGGCTGTTACTGTTTTACAACCAAATTATGCAAAGATAAGAGAAAGATTTTGCTAATTAACTGGAAATAAGTGCAAAGTTATCTGTATTACCTCTTTTAAAATTCAGGGAAAATGTACAGGCAGATCAGGGACAAAGCTTTAGTGTACAAGAGAAGCCATTCCACATCAGACTAACAGCTTGCTTATGCTATTATTCCCTCTGACAATGGCCGTTACCAGATGCTTCAGAGGAAAGTGCAAGAATCCCTGCAGTGAGCACTTATGAAATGCTCTGCCCGTAGAGGAAATTTCTTGTTAATCTCTGTCAGCGATGATTGGTTTATATCCTAGAGCATGGTGGCTTGAAGGTTAAGTATAAAATAACTGTAGGACAAGTACGACTGTACTACTGTAAAAGAGGCTGTGTTTCCCTAAGATACTTCAGTTTTATAATGTGATAACAGGCACTGGCCAAATGATGTTAAGCAACTTCCTCAGAATGTTTCAGCATTTATTGTAGAGACCGGATAATGAAGGGGATCTGGGATAAACACAAGGGATTAAGTCTGTGTGATTTACAAAGAATTAGTGAAAACAGACATGTTTTCTTTTTCTTTTATTACTTTTTGTAGTCTTGCATACATTTAGTGGTAATATGGAAAATCTCGCCTAGTTTTGGTAGAATAATCATATTTAAATAGTAGATTTTTCATTAATAATATTTTCTGTTTTCTGGTCACATTTGTGACTTCTTGAAATGATTTGTGGAACGACTTCATGAAATGATTCTTTTGCTTCTAATATACAGGCAAAGACTGAATTTTCTCATTTTAAAAGAAGAGTAAAAAGAAAAAGTTTTCAAGATTCCTTTGCATATCATGAAGGGACATAAAGGCATACATCCAAACATGTCCTTCTCCTACCCCCCTCTTTATACTTGGTGGTAAAAAAAAGCTAAGCTTCTAAAAATTTTGAATGTCACGAGAAGATGTCTTCCAGTGATGAATGAGGATGTTAAGTGTGCTCAGCTCTCCATACCTATAATCTGCCAGCTGGAAGCTGCCATTCCCACATTGCCATTCCTATTCTCTGCTGGACAAAGGAGTCTGAGAGCTTTGCCTTATCCACTTCAGGCAAAGTCAGTTCTCTTTTCAGACTGCCTTCATCAGCTGTTTATTACTGCTGTGACTCCTTATGGGGTTCTCATATGATCCATTATGCCCAGAAGCTGCAGAACTGGCAGGCTCTCAGGAACAGACAGGAGGAAACTCTTAGGGTTGCTCATAGCTTCAGTTGTCACTGTTCTTTGCTAGATGAACATCTGTCTGCAGCCTACAAATGAGCTCTGCATAATCACTCTGCTAAGAACACAGCTATTTTTATCCTTGTGTTTTTGTGCACTGCTCGTGAACTTTTCATCTCCTTGCTAGCCTGGCTATCTTAATGTTGCTGGATATCTTCAACCTGGCCCATTTTTGTATAGTTCAGATTTTGTATAACTACACTGGAGGTTTCAGCTCAGTTCAACATTTAGGAGCTCTGGGTGTTACTCAAGCAAGGCATTTTATAATATTCTTCTGGGAAGAAATAGCCTCAAAGCATCTGGATATAAATACCTCTATTAATCATGTGGCTGAAAATAAAAGTAAGAATTCTAACTTTAATTGTAAGGAAAATGACTGAGTTACATCCTCTCTAAGTGACAATGGTGTAGTTTTATAATGTAGATTATTCCTGTAGCAACTGAATATTGGCCTACATTGTGTAATGTTACTCTGATATAAGATAACTCTACTCTAACATATGGGTAAAACCTTAAAATCACACTTTTCCCCAATGTTTGGTGATAAACAGGTACTGGTAAAATGTCTAGAAATTTATATCAACCATGTTTTTTGTGAAATGTGAGGAAATTTCAGTAACATCTCTCAGAAAACCTGTGTAAACCTAACAATGCCAGATGACATGAACTGGTTTCTTGTGCTCAAGAGAGAAATGCCCAATAAGATCCTGATAATTCCCAACTGTTTGCTGCCAGCTCAGGAAGCATGTGAACCCAGTATTTATGGAAGTTCTTCAGGAGCTGAGGGCTGATCCCTCAGAGAAACTGTATTAATTGAAACTCAAGCTTGCCAGCTGAAATTCCTAGACTGATCCAAACTATTTTGTTGAAAAACAGAATCAATGCTTGGAGATGCACTTAGAAATAGATTGCAGAAAAGCATAGGTCACAGGGTGCATGAGCAGTGACCCCTATTTGGTACAGATTGTCAGATAAAGCTGCCTGGAGACTGCCACAAATGATAAGGGTGTCCCCTGTGAATTAGGATAGATATTTAATTTGGGTAGATGATGGCTTCACCAAGTATCTCTAGCAAAAATACCTTTGTAGAGTAATCACTGCTCTTATTTTAGTGAGTTTACTTCTTATCAAGTCATCTTGAAAATCAAAGGAAAACCCTTTGTGGAACAAAGTGATGAGCATGAAAATACAGGAATAAATACAAAGATTTATGTACACCAGCATTCTGGCAGTTGTCAATAGATAAAGCTTTGAGGGTGAATAACAGAACAGGCCAAGTAGAAAATAAAATTTTCCTGCTACTGTTTCTGACTTTTGTCATAACTCCAAGGCTTTGTGAGTGAGAAATTAGCTTTTTTGATGTGTATTATAGAACAGCCTTGGATGAATTTTTTCTTCCATATGATTTTTTCTAATTATTTCTTAACCCACCTAAGCTTTTGACATTTCCAACATCCTGTAGTTATGAGTTCTACAGTTTAATTATGTGCTTTGTGAAAAGTGTTTCCTTTTGTTTGCTTTAAGCCTGACACTTGATAACTAAGTCATCTAAGTTCCCTCATGATGGGAACCAGAGAACAGTTCTCAGTATGCTTTATTCAAGTCAATATTTTATATGTATTCATCATATTAATCTCATGGGTATTTCTTTTCTATCTAGTAGTCTTCATCTCTCTGCTTTAAATAACAACTCTTTATTCTCCTAGGTACACTTCCTGTATCTTTTTAGTTATCCAAAGTCCATTTTCAGATGTGGGGAAGTAGGACTACATTCAATATTCAGCAACATTTATTTGGGATTCCTTATCCAACTATGTCTACCATTCTGCTGCTTCCATGATCTCTCATGAGTATTGAGCAGAAGCTTGAATAGATGTGTTAAAGACTCCCAAAACTCTGTTTTGAGTGAACATGGCTAATTTAGGCTCACCATAGTAATAGCTGATTTGTATGAGTGGCTGTTGATATTCCTTGGATATTTTCCAAGTCCAAACAGTCTTTATGATAACCTTCTGTAGCTTGTTGCAGCTGGCTTTTGTTTTGATAATGCTAAATAATTCAGCATTGTCAGCAAAGTTGGCCATCTTTTCATCAGTATCCCCACAGCTTGCTGTAAACTCTGAATAAAACAAATATCCATATGCTTGTTGATGTTTTCTAGAAAATTCTCTTCACAGAGGAATTTTTGTAAAACTTGGTATTCTTAAAAAATCAAGTATCATGCAAAATATCTTTCCTATTATTCCAAGTGCCTTATTATCTTTACTGCCTTGCTGAGAAATTTTGATAAAATCTTTTTGAAAATTCAAGTAAATAATGTCAGCCACATCTCTCATGCTATTCAATTTATCAAAGAGCTCCTATAAATTTGTGAGGCACAATAATATACTACAAAAGCTGAGTTAATTCTTCTCATTATACCATAACTATTTGTTTGTCTACTCCTTTTTTACATTTGGTTTCCTTTCTTTATAAAGTGGTCAGATTAAGACATGCATGTTTTCTTCTACTCCAACTGAAACTTATCAGGGGAACTGACTTCTTTAACCATTAACTCTCTCAGCACTGAGATCACTTTCAGTAATATTATCCATCTAACAATTTCATATCTGATATTTTTAGCTCATGGGTGAATATCACCTTGTTGTGGCAATTTTTTACTATTCATTTTATTGAGTTGTTCTAAGAATTTTTTCACTAAGAGTCCAATTGGAGATAATTCTTATAATTCTCCCTCTGCAAAAAAGTTTCCCCTGTGGAAAGCAGTCTAACATCATCTGTAGAGAACATCAATATAAAGAATTAATTTAACCATTCCGCTTTGACCTCACCTTCTTTTACAGCTTCTTAATCACCTGTTGGTCCTATAGAGTCTTTGTCAGACTGCCTATTTTTATATATTCATAAAGAGTTTCTTCAATATTTTTAGATGTTTTTATGATTTCACATTTCATTTTCTGGACTTACATTCTTTTTACTTTCCACATTTCCACAAAAATTTACAACTCTGAAAATTTCCTTTATACTAGCAACAATTTCGTAAAAAACCTGGGTTGTCTTGTTTTTGTT